TATATATGCATGTATGTATTCATGTATATATACATGAATTGTATATATATGAATCATATGTGAATCATGTATACGTATATATGAATCACATGTACTTTGCTATACACCTGAAACTCACATAACATTGTAAATCAATTACACTTCAATTAAAAAAGAAAGAAATGAATAAAAGTTCCATTCTTATTTGTGATTTTAGCTTAAAAAGCTACATAGCACATTCATAAGGTTGGGGATTGGAAGGGAATGCAGGCAACAAAATACAAGGGCTTTTTTTTCAGGTTCAGGAGATTGTGATCAATTTTTTAAAATCCCAATATTTTATGATAATTATAAAAAAATAATTGTAGAAATAAATGTACACACAGCATAGGATATTTGTGTAGTATATGCAGCCTTAGCACTATTTCATTTATTTCTAAGTAACTTCATTTAAATTTTCTCTTGGTCAGCTGTGGGCCTGTGGTATGTTAGTATACCTGATATGTATTTCTGTAGATTATGTACCCAATGTGCATGTTTTTATCTACAGGGGCCTTTTAACTATTTCTTTTCCTTTTAAAAAAATTTCACAGGAAATCTGTCATTTTGATATTGTCAGCCTGCTTTCTATCAATAAAAAAATTTTTTTTAACTTGAATACCATAAAATGCTTTTAGTAAAGGATTTCAGAGACTCAGGGTTGCAGAAAACTTGACCTATTTATTCTCTTGCCTTCAGACAAAAGTCCCAGCTGAAACTTGACAGATAAATATCTGTTCAATTTGCCAAACTCCTCAGGGACAGTTCTAAAGTTTTCCTCAGAGATTACCGTTCCCTGTCAATAAATTCCTTGTAAATATTAGATAAATTCTTCTAGGCACAGTTGAGGGCTGTTTTCTTTCTGCAGGAGTGATTGGCCGGGGATGTTGGACAGCTGGGCAGCACCACCCACATGTCACAATGCACGTCATATCTGCCTTGGGGCTTTTCTCTAGGCAGGACTCTGTTCATTCTTGAGACATGGCCTCATGGGTTTATACATCAGTCTTTCAGCCAGTTCCTGTTAGGATGATTCCTGCTCATAATCTTTGCCCAAATCATCCTTCTAACATGTGAAGCTGCTTTCATTCAACAGGTATTGATTAAATGCTTCTGTGAGCTCAAGATGCAGACTTTAGCAGATCGAGCCTTGGAAAGGACAGGATCCAGGGCTGTGTGTTTTGAAATAGGACATGAAATTTTAAGTTAAGCTATGTAACTTTAAAGAAGGAGTCAGACAAGGTGAGGTTACAGTCTGCCGCAGGGGCATAAGCTTCCACCCCCAGGCCATTCTGCACCTTTGAACCCTTCCTCCCCAAGTCCCACCATCTCTGTGCATCCTTGAGTGGCCGACACAGCGGGCCCCTCTCCCGGTGGCGGCTCTGTGCCCATGGGTTGGGGGGCTTGAGTGGTGCTGTATGTGTGTGTCTTTGGGCATGTGGCCCTCCAATCAGAAGGGCCTGACAAAGAGTAGCTGGGAGACCTTCACCTGTGGGTCATCACCAGACCTTGGTGTTGAGGAAAGTAAGCAAGCACAAAGGCTCATGTCTCATCAGCTTGTTGTGGGAATGGCAGCTGGGAGCTTCTCTGGCCACTTTTAGCTTCTACTAAAATGTAGCTGAGAAGAGATGACTCAGGCATTGAACTTTCAAAAGGTAGGGTTCTGGTGTTCCAGCTCCCAAGTCGCATGTGTCGTGGGTAACTCACTCACTCCGTGGCTCTTCCGCCTTTCAGATGTTTGGGAGAGCTGCCCATGGAAAGAGGTGATCGGTAATGGGCTAGGTACCACTTCAGGCCTCATTGGTTAGAGATGCTGGCTTCAGTCTTTATAGACTCACATGAGTGGTTAGATTTCCTGCTGATGCCTAAGTGGGAAATTTTTTTGACTTTTTTTTTTTTAATTTAAATTGTGTGTGTGTGGATCATCCTAGATAGACTTGTGTCTTTGACTTTATTGGGGATACTTAATGTCTTATACCAGTGCTTTGTGAATTTTAAAAGTCACCATCAAACTGTCCAAAGAGGCTATACAAGTAGCTAACAAGCCGTGAAAAGACGTTCAGCATCACTAATCATCAGGGAACTTCAAATCAAAACCACAGTAAGATACCATCTCATACTATAGGATGGCCACATTAAAAAAAAAAAAAAAGAAACCACAAGTGTTCATGAGGATGTAGAAAAAAATTGGAACTTAAACACTTTTGATGGGAATGTAAAATGGTGTGGCTGCTATGGGAAAAGGTATGGTGGCTCCTCAAAAAAAATGAAAAATAGTAGAATCATATGATCAAGCAATTCCAGTTCTGAGTATACACCCAAAAGAATTGAAAGCTGGGTCTCAAAGAGATATATGTATACCTGTGTTCATAGCAGCATTATTCACAATAGCCAAGAGGTGGAAAGCAGTTTCTAAGTGTCTATTTACAGATAAATGGATAAACAGAATTTGAATAATGGAATTTTATGCAGCCTTAAAAAGGAAGGAAATTTGACACATGCTACAGTAACACAGAGGAGCCTTGAAGACATTATGCTAAACGAAAAAAGCCAGTGACAAATGGCAAATCCTGTATGATTCCACTTGTATGGTGTACCTAGAGCAGTCAAATTCATAGAGACAGAAAAGAGAATGGTTGTTACTAGTGGCTGGGGAGATGGAGGAGAGAGCGAGGTGAGGAGTTTAATGCAAGAGGTTTAGTTTTGCAAGATGAAAAGAGTTTGGGAGATGAATTACTAACAATGTGAACGTATTTCACACTACTGTCTGACCACTTGAAAATGGTTCAGATGGTAAATGTTATGTTCATTGTACTGCAATTACAAATATAGTTTTGTTTTCTTTTTTAAGAGGATAAAGGTCACTGTTGAGCCCTCACTGCTTTGCTGTCTCTGTCTGCAGAGAAAATAAAGGCTTTGTGTCCCGGCCGTGAACACAGCCAGATGGCAGCGCCCCGTGTTCCCCTCAAAGGTGGGCTTCCTGCCTCTAGCCTCTTGCAGCGAGACCCACGCATGTGCTGGAGAAAACCTTCTTCATCTCATCTCTGGGGTCGGCATCTCTGACACACGTTACTTTAGCCAAGGGCTATTTCTCTGTGATTCTACATTTTGGGTCAGCTGGGGAACAGTGACCTGTTGTTGCCGTGTCGGGACGCTGCTCCTGTGATCTTGCCAGGGCGGTGGGTCTGGGAGTTGTTTTCCGAGCGGTGGTGACAGACGAGCGGTGACTCAGGGCCGCACGTTCACCTGCTCTCCCCCGAAACAAAGGCAAGCGTTTGCCTGCGGAGAGAGTGAAAGGCCTTTCGCAAGGTCGGTGGGGGCGGTCCTGGCTTCCTTCTCATCTTCCAGACAACCCCGATGAATCACGCAGCTCACAGACATGCCGTTTATTATTTTCATAGCGATTCTGGACACCCATTGTTTCTCCATGTAATTGGCGTTAAGACTTCCTTTTGACTTTTGGGGGGACCGGGTGTAAAATGCTTGACAGGGTTTTCTCCTGTTTCTGTTTTTCAGGATCATTTCATGGATCCACTGCCCGGACTTACTAACCACGCTGCCTTGCTCCCCGGACCCTGTCAAGTCGACTGACCATTAATCTCCCTCAGTGCACAAACCAGACTGCAGGTGAGTCCGGCCGGTGGGAGCTGTGGTGCATGGCCAGTGCCATGGCTGTATTCGTAAAGGTTTAATTATTTGTTCCCATTATTTGTGTTTTAAACTGAGTTTGATCATTGCCTCCAAAGAAATGGCAGCCCTTTTGACTTTTGTGTCTGTACATTCTTACATAGGAAAGAATGGAAATTAAAAACCAACTTCATATATTGGAAGTAGGTAACCCACTCCAGTATTCTTGCCTGGAGAATCCCATGGACAAAAGGAGGCTGGCGGGCTACAGTCCATGGGGTTGCAAGAGTCGGACACAACTGAGTGACTAAATCTAACCTCATATATTAGAAACATTGGAAGCATCATTTCTGACTTGCTTCAAACAGTGATACATTGGTTAGAATAAAAACAAAACAAAACAACACTGGGGGGGTGGTGGGGTGGTTTGGATCTTCCCCTGGAATTTGGCTTAACTAACAGACTCTTTAAACAAATTGGAGTTTTAATGGAAATTGAAAGAATCTAAGTTTGGGTTTTTTTTTGGGGGGGGGGGGATGCTCACATTCTTTTTTTTTTAATTAAAAAAATTAAAAAATTTCTTTCTAGGATGCTCACATTCTCACAAGTCAGCTTCAGACTTTTCTCTTTTATCAGGTTCTAAAGTGAGGACCCTTCAAGTCTTTAGAAAAGCACGGGAGATTAGTTTCATTAAAATGTTTTTCTGTCCCAAAGGAGAGCTTTTATTTTCCTCCCCCTGTTTTTCATCTCAGCCTAGTTTTTGAGAACTTTTAGTCTTTATCCTTTGAGGTATGCTATCCTGTGTGATATATGAAAGCTCCAACATAGTGCAGTACCCGGAGTCATATTACTACAAACGTGGTCGGTTTTCAGCAGTAACCACTTATATTGGGGTGCAATATGAACTCTTCCAGTCGTTTGTGTATAAAGGAAAGGTGTCTCTGTGGTCACTGAAAAATCAGTGTATTGCAGTGACAGAGTAAAGGGATTTTCTCATTTTGCTCTTTAGAATCATTGATTCAAAACCTCCCAACACCTAGTCTATAGGAGGTCTCTGTCTTAAGCTGATTGCTATGCCTGTTCAGTTTCTGAATTAACATCAGACAACAGATAATGTGCTTAAACTCACTAGCATAGGAGTGTGCAGTATTGTCTACCTGGCTGATGACCTGCAATGCAGAAGAACCAATTCCGTAAGTCATGCTTGTGCCTACGTCTCCGAGTTGTGTCAGGCTCAGAAAGAGGCTGCTTGGTTCCTCTGTCACCTGAACATGGCTTGTAGGAAGTTCTGTCCTAGTGGAATGTAGTTTAGGTCGTGACTCTTACTGACACTGCTGTTCTTTATTCAGGTGACGATGGGAAACTCCGAGAGTCAGTACACCCTACAAGGACCTAAAAATCATAGCAATACTATTACTGGTGCTAAACAAAAACCTTGCTCCCTGAAAATCCGTGGCCTTCATGCCAAGGATGACGAGTCGTTGCACGGATGGGGTCATGGAAGCAGCGGAGCGGGGTACAGGTCCAGGTCATTGGCCCGAAGCTGCCTTTCTCGCTTTAAGAGCAATCAGCCCTACGCATCGCGACCAGGGGGCCCCACGTGCAAAGCCTCCAAAGGCGGTACCTACGCCAAGCATAGGACAGGTGCCGCAGGGGCAGATTTCCAGGGCACCGATGCCGCTTTCTCGCCCGAGAATGGCTTCCACTACGTCGGACGCCCGCCCGAGGAGAACCACTCGGCCTCGAGGGACTGCCGCAACGGGCACCTTCTCAACTGCTACGGCGGGAACGAGAGCATCGCGTCCACCCCGCCGGGCGAGGACCGCAAGAGCCCCCGGGTGCTCATCAAGACGCTGGGCAAGCTGGACGGGTGCCTGCGCGTGGAGTTCCATAACGGCGCCGCGCCCCCGGGGGCCTCCCCATCGGGCGGCCCGGTGCAGCTTCTGCGCTACTCAGCCGGGTCCCCGCCCAGCCCGCGCGCCTCCCCGGCCGCCGCCGCGCGCCCTCGCTCCAGCAAAGGCAGCTCGCTCAGCTCCGAGTCCTCCTGGTACGACTCGCCCTGGGGCCCGGCCGGCGAGGTCAGCGAGGCCGAGGGTTCCTTCGCGGCGCCCGACACGCCCGAGCCCGGCCTCCACTCTGGCTTCCAGACCAGGGATGCTCCAAAGCCTTTCAGCCAAAGCGCCTCCCTCTCGTCCCTCCGGGACCCCTACCCCAACGCCTCCCTGGGGAGCCTGGCCCCCGCGGCCCTTCGACTTTCCGATGACTACATGGGCACCCGCGCCAGCCTCAGCGCCCGCGTCTCCTTCGCCTCCGACATGGACGTGCCGGGCCGCGTGGAGCGCGGGGAGCCCGGGCAGTTCGCGTCCTTCACCCTCCCTTGCCGCAAGTCCAGGGCCCTGGGCGAGGAGCCCTCCAAGAAGGACACCCTGAAAGCCAGGATGCGCCGCATCAGCGACTGGACGGGAAGCCTCTCCAGAAAGAAAAGGAGACTCCAGGTGAGTCTGGCTGGAGCGCCAGGAGAGATGCTCTTCAACTGGTTTCCTATCTCCAGAACGGGAAGGCTAGCAGAAGGCACTGTGGAGAGCGTCCTGAGCCTTAGATGAGCTCCTAGCGTGGTTAGCCCAAGACTCCGCACGTCTTGTTTTCAGGGGTGTGTGTGTGTGTGTGTGTGTGTGTGTGTGTGTGTGTGTGCCTTTTGTGTCAGACATGCATTTTCACTCTGAACCCTCCACTCCAGTCATTCCCATTCTGTCCAATCTTGCACCTCCTGTATTCTGGGGTGAAATCCACAGGCCTCATCCAAGACCTAGCCAAACTGTTCTTGGAAGGAACAGTGTTGGGGAGACTCCTCAGTGAATTGCTTATCTGAGTGCTCAGCTAAATCTCATTCTCAAAGCCTAGACAGAAAGGGAGAGAGAGACATTGTTGTTGTTTTGGGATTGAGTCGCCTTCCTGAGCTCCATGTTACTTTGGGGAAATTAAAATTCTTATTGTTCATTTGGTACATTGGGGGAAAATGTGTATAAGGTCAGCACCTTCTCATGGGGACAGCTAACTGTTGATAACATCTTGACCTGAGCACATGGAATCACAAAAATATGTTGATAAAATAATCATGATGGTGGCAGTAATACTTTTAACGGGCATATAAAGTTTGAATGGGGGAAACAAAATGACTTTGATGCCAGCAAGGAAAGTAATAGTTTGCCTTCTTTGGTAATGAGAGGCAATTGCTAGGTTTTTTAATTGCTTTTTTTTTTTTTTGCTTTTAATTATTTATAGAATGGAGGAAGTATATTTTACATATATATATTTTAACTCACCATAAGTCATATTGTTGAAGGAAATTTAAGTGACTTTAGGAATTTGTCTCTAATAGAATTGCATTTTGACCATCCTAGATAGATACACAATTATAAAATTTTAAAGAGTTTTAGAAGTAGAAAACAATACAGCTTCCTTGAGCAGATTGTTTCAGATCTATAAATTTTACCATTAGTTACTTCCTTCTTAGTTACAAGGCCCAATCCCCCGTCCCAATATTGTACTTTGTCCCTTTCTTCCTCCTCTCAGGAGGAGACTAAGAATAGATGATCAGTGTCCTGTTACAGAACTCTTCATATCCCTGAATGCAGTAATTTGCTTCCTCCTGACTCATTACTTGTTCAGGTCAAACCATTAAGTAGTAAAGATTTCTTTGACCTTTCTCTCAGCTGTCAAGTACACTGGACAACTGACAGCAATCAATCGTAAGGGGAAAGATAGCTCCTACTTTCTGGGGACCTGCAGTCCCACGCAGACAACTTTCTCATCTTCTTGATGTAAGGGTTGTGTTGTCGACTTGTGTTCAGCGCTCATCTCCCGGGACCCTGATCCTGTTCCTCCACATCTCTTATTTGCATAGAGCATGGTTCTCTTACGTGTATGTGGCCTGGCTTATACCTGGTCGGTTCCCCTTCAGTTCGAAAGCAGATCCTTTGCCACTGTGGACTGACCACATTCCATCCTACACAGACCCTTGCTGTCCAGCCACCCCTGGGAAGTGAACCTCCTTCAAGTCTGTATCATCCAAGACTTAACTGGATGATTTGTAAGCCCATGGAGTTAAGAACAAAATGGTTACAAAGTCAAAGAATCTGAATCTGAAAGGACTTTCCCTCATTTGGGCTTCCCAGGTGGCACTAGTGGTTAAGAATCCGCCTGCCAATGCAGGAGGTGCAGGTTGATCCCTGGGTCAGGAAGATCCCCTGGAGGAGGCATGGCAACCCACTCCAGTATTCTTGCCTGGACAGCCCCATGGACAGAAGAGGCTGGTGGGCTACAGCCCACAGGGTTGCAAAAGAATCGATTTAGCATGCACATGCACCCTCTTATTTTAAAATGAAGAAACTAATGTTACAGGAGTTTGACGGCTAGTTAGTGGAGAAGCTGGGGCCAAAGCTGTTTCTGCTAAAGCTCAAATATGCGTCTTTTCCACTTGGCTGCATGGCCAAGGTACTCTTGATAACCACTAGTAATTTTGTTGGGGTTATTGAACATTAAGATAACAAATTATCTTGGATTTTTGAAAAATGGCCTGTGAAGGCAGCTTTTTGCGTTTTGCTTCTGTCAAATTTTGATAGTTTATAAAGGTGAACAATATGTACTTTTTTGGTAGGTATGCCACTTCCATTGGCCTTGCCTTTGTTTTTCTTCTTCCTCTTTTTTAAATTTTCTGGTTGGTTTTTGTTTTTGGCCACACTGTGTAGCTTGTGGGATCTTAGTTCCCTGACCAGGGATTGAACCTGGGCCACTGAGGAACTCCTGCCTTTGTTTTCCTTTTACAATTGAAGGTGAAGACAGAGGTTGGGTCCTTAAAAATACAGTCAGTGCGTAGGAGCAGCTAAGTTTGTGACAGTGTACCATAGTTAGGTACCAAATGCTTATTCTCTTACACAGACTTCTGTATGCCAGTACAGCTAAGACTCAGAAAGTCTTCCCATGATGGGTAGACATATTTGACTTATTAAAAAAAAATGACGTGAAAAGAGCGATCCTTTCTTTAGAGGGTTTTCAACCACTCTGGGGAGTTACAGCCTGAAAGCAAATTCATCAATGAAGGTACTTACGTAGCCAAAAAAGGATATTCAAGGGTTGGGGGGGGGGCGGGGATGGGTGTGCAGGAGGAGGGTGTGTTTTTGAAGCTGGTGAACTATTTGTAGTGATGCAGCTGTTCTGAGACGGGTCCTTGGTAAACTTTCCATCCTGTGAGTCAGGCGGGCCAGGTTACACCGAGGCAACAAAAAACCCTTAGTTCTCCGAGGTTGAGCACAAATCAGTCGATGTCTTTCTTAAGCTGCGACTCTGGTCTGCATTGTCCCCCTCTGGGCCCCCAAGTCCATGGAGCAGTTTCCCTCCGGGACACCCCAAGCCTCCGGGCCAGAGAGGGAAGAAACCTAGTGATGGGTTTTGAAGCGCCCACTCATAAGCCCCGCCTTTCACATCTGTGTTGGTTTATTGGTCAAAGCGGGTCATGTGACCATGCCTGACTCCAAGGGAGGGGGGTTGGGAGCAGGGAATGGTCTTGCCAGGTACCCTAGGGGTGAACCCTGACCACTGCTGCAGAGTTTCTTAGGAGAGTCAGAACACAGTGACTCCGGCTTTCTGACCCTCTTCATTTTAGACTCTCACTGCCCCTTGAAGGCCCCGCAGTCCCGGGGAGTTTCTGCAGAGGACCAGTGGCCATTACTATGCAAAGAAAGACAGTGGCATGTGAAGAATGACACGGTGAATTTAGTTCTGATAAAGTGAGGAACGGTGATAAGAGTTTTCTTTCAGCTGCCAAGGAATTTAGTGACATCTCTTGAGTTTCTCTTCACTCTGCTGTAATGCGATAGTGTCATCAAGTTATGTTACCTGTCATTTATGATTATCTGATGCAGATAGGAATGAAAACTAAACTTCTTTATGTACGTGACTAACATAGCGCCTTAGTTCACACACAGCGCACAGTGATCAGGAAATCCAGCTGAGACTATCAGGGACCTACCTTTCTCCCATATTCCTTCCCATTAACCTGAAAATGAGCCACTAGCTCTTAGGATTCTAGATAGAAAGCTTTACACATTTGTTACAGACCAGGAAAATTCATACCTGTGTATATGAATCAGTTATAAATGGTAAAATATGTGATCTTTTCTCCATTTTTCAAGGACGAAAATTTGTCTTTTGCTCTGGTTGAACATTTAAAAGTTAGCACTATGACTTAAGTCTACCTCTTATGAAAACCAATGTCAGGAGGGCTGACAAGTTACACTTCGGTTTGACACTTGATGCTTTTCTCTGGCAGGTCTCTGCTGGGTTTGAAACACCCCATCACAACTCTTGCTGGCTATCAGAAGCAATCCCAGTGTCCTGGAGCTGAGTCAGAGAGTCCTATTCATAGCTGAAATAATGTCAGTATGAGCTAAATGAGACCTATTCCTTCATCTCCTAGGAACGTTTGAAGAGCAACACAGTGACAATTGAGGGAAAAAAAAACACACCCTTAAACTATTTTGACACTTTCCTGTCCAAGTGACTCACCATAGCTGACTTATTTGCTCTGTTCTTGCATAAGCATCAGGGTATAAATAAATCTGACTCTGGGATATCGTATAAACACAGTGGAAGATAATATTTTCATTAGTAATAGCTATGTTTGGGGTTCAGTTGTTTGTAGCCCTTGGGTATTTAGAAGCGCTTGTCTAATTGATGATTTTCGTACAAAAGATAGCAGGTAATTGCCACTTGATTTCCGGATGAAATTTCTGGGAAAAAAAACCCCTGCACACAGGGGAGTATTCACCACAAGGTCTTTAGTCAATGGTCTTGACCCCATTTTCCCTCCTCTTTATTTTAGTGGAGAAGGAAATCTAATTGAAAATTCACCAGCCTCTGAGTTGGAGTGTGTTAAGAGCCTCTGCAGAGTTACCTTAACCTAAGCTGTAAATTTGAAGTGTCAGAGTGTTTTAAGTCATAAATCAAGCTTGCTTACTTTATTTTATTTTTTAAAATGTTTGTTTGTTTGTTTTTGGCTACATCGAGTCTTGGTTGCCGCACTCAGGATCTTGGTTACATGCGGGATCTTTTGTGGTGGGCTCCTCTTCAGCTGAGGCAGCTGAAATCTCTAGCTGGGGCTCTTGGGCTTAGTTGCCTCTTGATATGTGGGCTTCCCAGGTGGCGCTAGTGGTAAAGAACCCACCTGCCAATGCAGGACACATAAGAAAAGTAGATTTGATCCCTGGGTCAGGAAGATCCCCTGGAGGAGGGCACGGCAACCCACTCCAGTACTCTTACCTGGAGAATCCCATGGACAGAGGAGCCTGGTGGACTGCGGTCCATGGGGTCACAAAGAGTCGGACACAACTGAGGTAACTTAACATGCACATGTGGGATCTTACTTCCCCGGCCAGGGATTGAACCTGCATCCCTTGCGTTGGAAGGCAGATTCTTAACCACTGGACCAGCAGGGAAGTCCTCCTAAGCTCACTCTCTGCTGAGAAATTTACTTACTGCTATTGACCAATGAATGGCCTCTATGCAAGTTATTCTTCTTAAATGACTAGACCTCTAGTCTAGGTGTTCAAGGAAACCTTCGTGTTTTCAGCTGTCTCCACAGCCAGCTCAATATTCAGTGTGTGTTGTCTTAAGAGGGGCAGTGGTTATTAGATAAACCTAATTTTATTTAGATATGCTTATGTCTGATTTTGTGTCAGAATAAATATTAAAGAATCTTGCTTTGGTATTCTCAGTGCTTGGAATAAAATGAGTGCTCAAATAAAACAATGGGAATGAATAAATAGTATATTCTTTTCATGAAAAAATCCCCAAATTAAGTAAAATATACTAGTTATGAAATAACTACAGTTAAATAGCTATGGTTCTTAACAAGAACCCTTTGTGGATAAGGAGCCCAGGTGCATGGTTTTTACTATCCAAAGAGGGAAAATATTAATATGATGCTAATGATCTTCACGTCTAGACCTGAGCAGGGGTTCAGAAGCTGAAACTGTTCACTGTGGGGAGTGGAAGAAATGTTTATATATAACAACACCCCCCTTGACCCTGAAACTAGTGCTTCTCCTGTTTAGCTTAAAAATGATTCAGAAGGAAAACAAGACTACAAGAACATGAATTCTTTCCTGGAAGATACTGATTCACAGTTAGCCAAGAAATTAGCCAGAAATCTTCACTAGTATGTTTTGAATATACTACCTCATTTTTTGGTGCCAAGTGTAGGTTAGATTTAGGATGTGTGCATGCTAAGTTGCTTCAGTTGTGACCAACTCTTTGCCACCCTATGGACTGTAGCCCACCAGGCTCCTCTGTCTAAGGGATTCTCCAGCTGAGAATACTGGAGTGGGTTGCCGTTTCCTCCTCCAGGGGATCTACCCGACCCAGGGATCAAACCTGTGTCTCTTACGTCTCTTGGCATGCGGGTTCTTTACCACTAGTGCCACCTGGGAAGCCCTAGATTTAGAATGTTCAGGGATGGTTGATTTACACTTTTTAAGCATTGACTCCCTTGCCTATACACTGGTTTGGGCAGTACTGTCTTTGCAGACTTGCTGCATTAAAAAAAAAAAAAAACTCTTGCTTTGCAGCATTTCTATTAGCAAGCCACACTATTACATGCACGCCGTGTTGGGGAAGAGGTGCTTTGGCTGTACGTAACCTCTGATGGGTGGTCATCTGTGTTGCTCACAGGAGCCGAGGTCCAAGGAGGCCAGTGACTACTTTGACAGCCGTTCAGATGGGCTGAACGTGGACACGCCGGGGCCCTCCCAGGGGTCTGCGTCCCTGTGGGCAGGGGGCTCCGCTCAGATCCTGCCCCACAGAAGCGAATCCGCTCATGCGATCGGCAGCGACCCGCTCCAGCAGAACATTTACGAGAATTTCATGCGAGAGCTGGAGACGAGCAGGACCAACACGGAGAACCTCGAGACGTCCACGGAGACGGCCGAATCCAGCAGCGGGTCGCTCAGCTCCTTGGAGCAACTGGACCTGCTCTTTGAGAAGGAACAAGGAGTGGTGCGCAAAGCTGGGTGGCTGTTCTTCAAACCCCTCGTCACCCTGCAGAAGGAAAGGAAGCTGGAACTGGTGGCCCGGAGGAAATGGAAGCAGTACTGGGTGACACTTAAAGGTATGTGGTCTTCACCACCCATAGGGTCCCAGGAGTTCTTTCCTCTGCTCTCCTCTTTCCTAGCAAATGTCAGCGAGTCCAGGCTGGACTGGAGTTCATGTGCAGGCATCTGATCCAGAACCTTCCAGCCTGCTTTCCTAAAATACCTTCTCAAACCTGTATAATATGTTCACTTAACAGTCGTATGCATCCTTCATTCTATTGACTAATGATTGAATGTAACAACTATTGCTTATTATTTTATAGGGGTTTCTGAACCAATTCCTTAATACTTGCCCTGCTTTTGGGGGATGGGAGGGGAGCCCGGGATAAGTAACCAGGTGTAGTTGAGTTATCTGGAACGTCAAACATGGATTGTGCACATGGTCAGAACCCCAGAGAGGCAGCCCTCCCCAGCTTGTACTGTGAAGAATTTCATCTGCGTCATTTGGTTTGTGTTCACCCCACGATTATGAGCTAAGAGTGTCTCATTGTCATCACAAACACATGTTTTGTTGTTGTTGGGGTTTTTTTTTTTTTTTTTTTGATGCAGAGGAAATAGGAGAAAGCCTTTGCTTTGCGAGGATGATAAAAGTTTTCACAAGCCTTACCGTTTAAAAATTATAATTGCCTCTCTCATTGTGGATGGATAGATTATTTGAATTGATCTGAGGCTCTGAGTCAGCATCGCACTGATTTATACAGATGTGAACGCTGAGCACCCCCACAGCCTCAGGCATTTCTGCATAGCTGTCCTGAGACTTTGTCAGAGGAACCTGGTGTGGTTCCTCATTAGCAGCTGCCACCCTTCCTTGTCACAGGAGCAGGCAGAAACGGGGGTCACATTGCACATAGTGCAGGTGAAAGGCCTGGAGCTAGCTGCAGTGCTCCCCATATTTAGAAATTGTGAGCTCTGGGGGAGCTGGCATCAATTCATTACCCAGCACCCTCTGGGAAAGAGACATGGAGAAGCCATCTCATCTCTAGGTAACACCTGCCCCCAGCAAACTGGAGGTTTTATGCAAGCCGAGACCCGGCATCCCTCATGGATGCAGCCCTCTTTTCCAGTTCTTGATTGCATCCTCGTGATACCTTGTAGTGGCTGCGGAAGGCAAAGGGCTACCCGCTGGGGGAGGCGGAGTCTTCTGCTGGATGATGGAAGAGATTTGGAAAGCTGGAATAATGGATTGGATCCAGCAAGATAACTTTTTTAAGGGATAAATTGATGCTTTTAAGGTTTAATGATCAAAGAACTACCCAAGTGCAGGAGAGGGAGGTGTGGCTCTAGTCATGTCAGACACTTTTCTTCAACATGAAGTTTGTTTACTAAAATGGATGCTTTGGGATGCTGAAAGCAGGATGCTTTCCCTTCCTGCCTTGTGGCTTTGGAAACCCCCAGCGCACACCCCATGGTGTTAGGGGTGGTGGTGGTCTGCGTCCACGTGTCCACATCCTGCTTTGAGAAGCCCAGCCATCGGTGACCCCCAGGGGAGGTAGAGCTGTGCTGTAAGGAAGATGAGAACGATTTAGCAGCATTTAACCTGGAGGACTGAGAACTGGGGTGACCGTGAGTATAGCAGTCTTTGGGAAGAGGCATTGAGTTTATTCTGGTTTATCAGATGTTGGGACAGGACTAATAGGTAGAAGACTAGCTGATGGTGAATTAGTGTAAAAAATACACGAAGGGAAAGATAAAACAAAAACCAAGTGCTTTCTTGAGTTTGTGCTCCCGGAGATGTTTGTAGTGGCAGGATGTTGGAGGCCCCTGGGGGAAGTGCAGGCAGGTGTCACTTAAGGTTGAAAGAGGACGTCTCTAGAATGCTGTCTCCCATCCTGGAAGCTGTCTGGGGAGCCTCTGGCTTCTGGCTTCAGAGGCACGGATGGTCCTGACTTGTGTCTGACCATTGTAAGATCCATGGTCCTGCCTGGGCCCTTGCTTGTTAAGCATTTGAAGCCCCGTGGATAAAGGATGCTCTCTAGGTGACAGTGTTATAAAGCACACATCCCTTTGTTTCCTTTGTAGTCCAGGAAAGGCTTGGGATGAAGATTTTTTTTCTCCCCCAGCATAACCTATCCCATGTGGTTTTCTATGCTTCTTTCTTCTAGGAATTCAATATGTTGAGTTCAGCTTTCTTGGCTTAGAATCCAAGCTGTAATATTTGGGCTTAACTGTTTGGTTTAATTGTAGTTAAAAGCATATATATATATATATATATATATATATATATATATATATACGTGTGTATATATATATATACACACACACACACATTTCAGCAGAGTTTTGAAATTATCCTTGAAGTATCTATGTAAATAAAGTCGAAGCAGTTCTTTTTAGGAGCAGCTATCAGCCAACCATCTGGTTGCCCACCTACATTGAATGTATAGGTATGCTAAGGGCACACATGTTTTTTAGGGTTTGGAGGATGTAATAAAATTTTAACAAGGGTGATTCTGCTTCTCGGCAGTCTTTTCCAATGAGTGGATTTATGTGTGGTTCACAGGGGACTTCCCGGGCAGAATGTTGGCAGGGGGGATAAACTGTCCCTCAGAATGCACAATAGGTGGGGTGCTAGGGCTGGCAGCATCTTGGTATCTGCCTGAAATGACTTTTACTTCCTTTCGATAGAATGCCTCAAGCCCCGGCCACTGGGAGCTCAGTGTTAAGGGAACCATTGGAAAGCATTTGGACTGGCGGGGAGCCGGCGCCTCTACCCTGGTCCTCAGGTCCCCGGGTCATGGGATGTTGTATGTGCAGCGGTAGCATCAGTCAGACTTTCCCGGATGGAAAGATTGGAGGGTTATTTCTAAGTACATCAGTGGCTGGAACAAGAGACTGGCTCAGACCTGCCGCAGCAGCTTTGGCCATAAACCTCATGCCCCTTCCCCTTGTTCCAGGAGGCTCTCACAGCCTCTGCATTTGGATGCGTGTTGATTGTGGGAGGAGAGATTGCTCAGTGCTCCGCTCAGAGAGTACCATGCCTCGGGGATGCCGTTTCTGGGGGCAGAGCTGGGGTCGTGAACTTTTTTTCCTCCTGATTTCTATGCGGTGCTGGGTTCCATTGTAAACTTGTGTGACCATGCTTCCTTATCTGCCTTCTTCTCGTTCCTTTCCTACGTGGGTCCTCGGGACCTGTGACCGGGGCAGTACTGTGCTTTTCTCTTTGACAGGATGCACGCTGCTGTTTTACGAGACCTACGGGAAGAATTCCATGGATCAGAGCAGCGCCCCGCGGTGTGCCCTGTTGGCAGAAGACAGCATCGTGCAGTCTGTCCCGGAACATCCCAAGAAGGAAAATGTCTTCTGCCTCAGCAACTCCTTCGGGGATGTCTACCTGTTCCAGGTACTGCTGAGCTTTCTAAACGGAGGGTGGAGGCGAGATCTTATGTCCTGTTAGGGCGAGAAGGATCTGAAGTAAGAGGCATGACTTAGCAATGAAATAGGGTGAAAGCTGTTAGACTTTGGATTAAAGTTTAAGCAAGAGAACCGACCTCTGCCGACTGCTGGGAACCATGGGGTTATCACCATTCAGTCGTTCACCCAGCAGGCGTTTCTTGGGTGTCTGTGTGCCAGCGTGTGTGCCAAGTCGATTCAGCTGTGTCCAACTCTGTGCGACCCCATGGGGTGTAGCCCGCCAGGCTCCTCTGTCCATGGGATTCTCCAGGCAAGAACACTGGAGTGGGTAGCCATTCCCTTCTCCAGGGGATCTTCCCGACTCAGGGATCAAACCCTTGTCTCTTACCTCTCCTTCATTGGCAGGCAGGTTCTTTACCGCTAGTGGCCATCTGGGAAGCCCCATATTTCCAGTATTCCACTCAAACTCTCGATATTTACAGACAACTATTTTAATATTATTGTGCCCTCCCTGAAATGTTCTTTTATTTTCATTTTTCATAATTAAGTCCACACCATGGACGTAATTTCATAACCAGATTTCAAAATGTAGCATTTTGCTCCTAATATTTCCTCATCTTATTAAAATTATGAAGGTAGCCTGCTTTTTTAGAGAGCGACGAAGATGTACACTGCTTGAACATACCCTGTTTTTTCTTTTTAAATTATTTTTGTTACTCTCCTGCTGCTGGCGAACAACTTGATTCCTGTTTGTCTTCCCGTCATATCTGGGGCCATGTGACACCCTTGATGCTCTCACAGGCCCTCTGGAATCATGGAAGCCTGCAGATCTGTGTTGAATGTGTTTTTTAAACTTAAACAGTTTTTATGAAGTGGAGGTATTTGGGGATTTTACACATCCAAGCCCAGGCTGCCACTTTGGAGAAACACTTGTGTGGAGAAACAATTCCAAATCGCTTCGCTCTCCCCCCGCCCCCTCTGTGTTTAGGCCACCAGCCAGACTGACCTGGAGAACTGGGTCACCGCCATCCACTCGGCCTGCGCATCCCTCTTTGCAAAGAAACACGGCAAAGAGGACACAGTCCGGCTGCTGAAGAACCAGACCAGAAACCTCCTCCAGAAGATAGACATGGACAGCAAGATGAAGAAGATGGCGGAGTTACAGCTGTCCGTGGTGAGCGACCCAAAGAACAGGAAGGCCATAGAGAACCAGGTACAGGTCATTTACAGTGTCTCCTCCCGTTAATCACCTTCCTCGTGGCAAACTCAGTTCCGGGAGCTGGTTCTTATGCCTCTGGTGGAAATAGCTTCTGTGGTCTCTCGGTTCAAGTACTTAAATGGTTGCACTTCTGTCATATGGGAAATACCATCTGCTTTGGTGGCTGTATATGTATAGTGGAACGTTTTATGACCAAATCTTGTTTCCTAGTATTGAGTAGCTCCTACTTGCCTAGCTGATTCTGTGAATATTGTCACTTTTCGAACAAAATTTGTATAATAAAACTACTGGAAGATTAGGCAGGTATGATTCTGATATAGAGGATGGCTTCGAAAGCAGTGGTTTGGTTGTTGTTCAGTTGCTATGTTGTGTCTGATTCTTTGTGACCTCACAACCTGCAACATGTAGGCTTTCTTGTCCTTCACCATCTCCCGAAATTTGTGCAAATTCATGTCCGTTGAATGTGTTGGTGATGCCATCCAACTATCTCAGCTTCTGTCACCCCCTTCTCTTCCTGCCCTCAATCTTTCCCAGCATCAGGGTCTTTTCCAAGGAGTTGGCTCTTTGCATTAGGTGGCCAAAGTCAGCATCAGTCCTTCCAATGAGTATTCAGTGTTGATTTCCTTTAGGATTGATTGGTTTGATGTCCTTGCTGTCCAAGGGACTCTCAAGGGTCTTCTTCAATACCACAGTTCAAAAGCATTGGTTCTTTGGCGCTCAGCCTTCAGTGATTTGGTATAACACACTATTCCTGTATCTGCGGGTTTGGGGGAAAAACACTGTTTTTTTGGCTTGTTTTTTTCTAACAGATGAGGTGCTAAAGAAAATGCTTTCTTTGGCCTGTTTCCACATTCATCTAGTAATTAAGCAGCTACTTTCCATGCGGCTTGCATTTTACAGGAAGGGAAGCAGCTTAGTGTCTGTCTTTCTTTGCTCAGACAACCTGAACACTTAGACAAGTGTCAGTGAAATTTCTAGCACCCCTCTCTTCACTCAGGTTCCCTGGGAAACAGACTGAGATAGACATTGGCATGTGAGGAGTTTTATTAGAGATGCTCTCAGGAGTGAGGGAGAGAAGGAGCAGGATTAAGGAGAGACTCTGGTTCTGAATTATGCTGCGCTATTCCACAGGGGGTCAGCAGCTGGGATGGCCATTCAGAGTTGCTTGCTTCTAGTGAGGCATACCGTGTCAGCTGGTCACGGTAGCTGCCTTCAGAGGGGGTGGATTCCCAAAGAGAAACCCATTTGTGAGCCATGAGCGGCTAAGGGGAAGAATGCCTTTGTCTTCAAAGGGGAATCAGGTGGTGCACAACAGTATCCACTACAGTCCCTTCAAAATCAGTGTCCGATGATTTCAGACCTTGAAGAGGGATAGGGTGAAGATGGGTTGGCGTGTGCCTGAATCTTTCATCCTTTTCACTTTGTAAATTATTATACAGAGCCTAGGTTTTTTAAAAAAATTCCATGGCAACACAACAGTTTAGATTCCCCATAGAAATAATTTTGTCTGCAGCATTTGATTTAAATCACAAATTAAATGACACATTACCAGTCTTCTATTTTGTGTTTGAATATTTAACCCTGCTTAGAATTTTTTTCTGTCTGCATATACATGAACTTTGGAGAAGGGAATGACAATCCCCTCTAGTATTCTTGCCTGGAGAATTCCATGGACAGAGGAGCCTGGTGGGCTACAGTCCATGGGTTTGCAAAAGAGTTGGACATGACTGAGCAACTAACACACATGTGAATTTAGAATGTGTGGAAAGAAATTTCTGGCTGTAAGTAAGAAACTGATGAAAGGCTTGCATTCAAATTATATATTTCTGACACTCTAAGAGTTTGGATTCTATCAATTGGCGATAGTAAAATAACCAAGTGATTACCATCTCCTGCCCCCCTCATCAAGTGTTTCTAAATGATGACTTAGTTGAATGGATTTTCTGGTGATACCTTGATCTGGCTTGTGTTGTCTTTCTCTCGATTCAATTCTTCCCTCTCTCTATTTGTCCATCTTTAGGTATTGACATACCTAATAGATGCCTATAGCTTCAACAAATAAAAATAATTTAAAAATACAAGTCCCATTTCTAAGAAATGTATCATTTAGTTAGAGAGCAGGCCTCATAAGCATGAAACTAACGAATATTCTAGAATGATATAAATCAGTACCAATGGACATAGTCATCAGATGCTTTGAGGGATCAGGGGTTGAGCTTGTGCTGTGATTTTGAGGAGGTGGAGGAAACTTCCTGGAAGAATAGGGCCTTAAAAAATTGGCACGAGGTGTGTAAGTATGAAAGCTAAACCTGATTGGGAAGAGCGTGTGGCACATGGTAGGAGAATTTGGTAGTACAGTTGACCCTTGAGTAACACAAGGATTATGGGCTCTGACCCTCTGGCAGTCGAAAATCTGCATATAACTTATAGTTGGCCCTTTGTATTCAACTAACCACAGTCATATAATACTGTAGTATTTACTTAAAATCTGTGTATAAGTGGACCCATGTAGTTCAAATCCTTATTGTTCAGGGGTCACATGTAGGAGTAACAGAGTGGTGGCTTGGGTCTCCTGAGCTGAGATGTGGACTAGGAAGGGATGAAGAGCTGGAGGTTTGGTGGGACAGGTACTGGTGTAGCTTTTTCAGGTCTGTGAAATAACGCTGGGATGTAAGGTTTATTATAGCCCCTAGAACCAAGGGAGGAACATGCGTTTTTAAATTGGGATGAAAGCATGATGAATGCATCCTCTTTGGAAGATGAATCTGGCAGTGGCTTAAATAGAGGTCAGGATGACCCTGGTCTGGATGTGCAGCAATGAAGGCCTGGACCAGAGTAACATGACAGAAGTTTAACAATTTGTATGGAAGATGTTTCTCCAAATGCATCATTTTCTATAATTTTATAGAACATTAGTTTCCTATGCAACTGAATTGAAATGGTCCTCAAACAGAAGATTTATTTATAGTGTGGCATGTGGGATCTTAGTTCCCCGGTCAGGGATTGAACCTGTGCCCCCTGCAGTGGAAAGTCTTAACCACTGGACGGCCAAGGAAGTTCCAAAATATGCTCTTTATTTAAAGAGGGACAGCTAGCAAGCTACAATCTAGAACATATTGATAGTTTACCAAGGAATTGAAAGGGAAGTTGAAACTGCCGAGGAGAATGGTGGGAGTGGAAGGTTTGGGGGGTTTTGACAAGGCCGCAGCTGCTGGGGATAGACACGTCTCTGCCCTCGGCCTCCTCCTCCCCAGAGCCTGGCCCGACTCATGTCTGGGAAGAGGTTTGATCCTGGGGCAGGTCCTGACCTCTCAGCTTTCTGTCTGGGGCAGGCAGGGATGTGATGCTGGGTCACAGTTCACACGACAAACGAAAAGCTTGAGGAGGAGGAGAAAGGTTTTCTTCACGTTTTCTCCATACTGTGTCTCCCCTGGGGTCCTAAATTTCAGGATCCAAGAGCCACGATAGTCTGTCTGTCATCAGAGTTGCAGCTCATGGATTCAAGTGCCCCAGTTAGAATCTCATACTGATTGTAGCGGGAGAAGGTGTGGTTCTAACTGGCTCGCTAACATTTAAGGCCACACTTTAGTCTCCTGGACGCCCAGCTTAGAGTTTTCAGGTCCTTGTGTGTTGTCAAATGTTTAGGTCCAGGGAGAAAAAAGGGAAATTGGACAACATTGAGCTGGTCCTGGCTTTTTTTTTTTTTTTTTTTTTTGGCCTCTTTTTTTCTTTCTCTGTTTATGGCCACAAGAAGTCCAAGCAAACAGGTTTTAAAAATTTAAATTTTCATTACTTTAAAAAATTCTCATAATTTAAATTTTCATTAATTTTTTCATTGTTGGTAAATGCTTAATTTCTGATGTCAAAATTGGTGCTGTTTTTTCTTGGGAGAGGGGTCTTTCATACTTTCATATGCCCCCCTACACAAATCCAGGGGTCTCTGGTGGTTGGATGGCCTGGAGAGGAGCTCTTTTAAAGAGTTAGGGTAATTATTACTTGTGACCCATATGCATTCTTTGGCAGAATCATTGCATGAGTATTTAAAGCACCGCGCTAATACTACTGAGTTTTCATTTCAGTTTTCCCTTTTCCCACCCACCCCACCTTGCTCTCATCCTTTTCCCTTGATCCCCTCCCCCTGCACACAATCACCTTCTCATATTATGCTGCTGAATTTCTGGTAAGAAAAACCTGGGTTGATCTTTAGACATTCCACCTGAAAATATTCTCCTTACCAAACCCACAGTTTTTAAGGTTGTAATTTATTTGTGTTTTCCCAGAGGGCTTTGCGGCAAGTAACGTGAGCTACATTCGCTGTGCCCACTCTTCTTAACTCACTTGCCAGATGGTTGGAAAGAAAGCTATTTTTCTCTATACTTGCAGACACAGAGCAAGTGTGGAGCCTTAAGCAGGGGGAGGCAGGCACATGCTTAGGATTACTTTTATGAGATGGTTTTGGACTAGAGAATGTTCTGTGACATATAAAGGCAAAGGTATTTACAAATCAAATCAATAAGAACACGATCTCCTAAATATCCCAGAAGTATATAGTTTTCTCTAAAGTGCCTTTTAAAAACTTCTTTAAAAGAGCAGTGCTTTATCCAATTACCATTGAAAACTCTCCACCTCACTCTATTTTATTTTACATGCAGGGAAATAATTTATTTACGCAGCACTTTTCCCCAGAGATCCCAAGAACCCCAGATACAGTCAGCTTGTTGCCTAATGAGAGCTGGGCTGAGAGTGTACATTACATCATGCGAGATAAAGTCTCTGGAACAGGTTTTCTTTAAAGAGCTTTGGTTGGAGGAGCTCGTTGTCAATTCCCTTTTCAGATAAAGTCACTATCGCAATAATAACAGCCTAGTTTCAAGCTGTCATGTGGGGACATGCTTGACTTAGAAGAGACCATCATATGCTCTTGTCCTCAGGCCTTCTGGGGACTCTGTGGGGCGGCTTGATGCCCCACATTTGGGGCATGTCCAATTGGGACA